CTTGGTAGTGGATGGAGAGCTATTGGGTTTCGACTTGTTACTTGGGTTTGACGCCATTAAAAAGCTGGGCGGAATCCAAATAACAGAGAGTGGCAATGTACGGTTTCCCAAGCGTGGAATTAGTCTGTTGTGCTGCCATTAAAATAGAAGAACCTGATTTCTGTGCCGAATTCGACCCAAGCCAAAAGATATGGGTCACATGATGGAAGTGGTCTAATGGTCGATCACCGAAGAGTTTGCAAAATCGGATGCGCAAGTACCCAATACCAAAGGGAGTCAAGGAGGAATACGACCGTGAGCTGCAGACCTGGCTTGATAATGGTTGGTTGCAGCCTTATCCAGAAAAGGAACTCGACCCTCCAAAAGGTTTAATTCCGTTGATGGCGGTGGTGCAGAAAAACAAAAATAAAGTGCAGCCAGTATTAGACTATCGAGAGCTGAATGAGTGTCCCGACGCACACGCAGCCAATGCTGACGTGTGCACACAGAAACTGAGGGAGTGGCGTAAAAAAGGACCAGATGTCGCTATCCTTGACCTACGGCAGGCCTATTTACAAGTACATATCTATAAGTCACTTTGGCCCTTTCAAACTGTAATCTTCAAGTGGTGAAGATATTGCTTAACCCGAATAGGTTTCGGGTTGTATGTTGCATCAGCCATAATGAAGGCCATTGTGGATGCCATGTTGGCAAAAGACGAGTCAGTTCGACAGGCAACCTCATCATATATTGATGATATTTATGTTGACAAGAGCATGATTTCAGCAGCTCACGTGAAAGAGCACTTGTCTGCGTTTGGTTTGACCTGTAAGGATCCGGAGCAGTTAAGGGATGGCACACGTGTGCTGGGTTTGCATGTCGCGGAAGATAACAACACGCTTAACTGGACACATGAAAATGGCATTCCATCAGTTCCTGATGTAACGTCTTCTCGTGGTGTGGAAAACTGGTGGGTTACGTTCCTGTATGTGGGTGGCTTCAAGTTGCTGCATCATTTGTAAAATGCAGGACAGTATCGATCACGTCTGGTTGGGACAACGAAGTGACAGATGCTCCCCTTAAGAACATGATTGAGAACATAGCGGAAAGAATATGCCAGAATGACCCTGCACACAGTAAGTGGTGCACAAGCGGATATGCTTATGAGGTATGGGTCGATGCAAGTTCTCTCGCCACAGGGGTTTCGTTGGAGGTTGACGGAATCATTGTAGAAGACGCATGTTGGCTGCGACCTGTGAAGGACGCCCAACATATCAATTTATCAGAATTGGATACTATTCTGAAGGGCGTCAATTTAGCATTACAGTGGAGCACAAGGGAGCTACGCCTCTTCACGGACTCCGCGTGTGTGCACCGGTGGGTATCAAACATGCTCACTGGCAAAGCCAGAATACGAACTCAGGCGGCAAGTGAGATGCTGAACCGGAGGCGTTTGAGTACTCTTGAAAAGCTGATTCAAGAGTATAACTTATTGATCACGATAAGATTAGTAACATCAAGTGAGAATCGAGCAGATAAGCTCACCAGAGTACTGCAACGATGGTATGAGATGATAAAGAAGGAAACCGAACCAACATGCCCGATATGCGCTTCCATGGTGAACGAAACCTCTCCTGATCAGATATGTGCTATACATTGCCAGAGTGGACATCCTGGCGTAAGGTGGATGCTATATTTTGTAAGACAAGTCTACCCTACGACACCCAAGGCGGCCGTCAAGGCAGTGGTCAGAAAATGTAAAGAATGCTAGTCAATTGACTCAGCCTCAAGTCGTTGGCCTCATTACAACCTAAGTGTGACTGAAATCTGGACCCGCTTAGGAATGGACATTACACATTACAATGGGCAACACTACCTTACGTTAATGGATTGCGGCCCTAGTAGATTTGCGATATGGCAACGCCTGCTTCAACAAGACTCAAGAAGTGTCATTCGGCAGTTAGAAAGTATTTTTTTTGAACGAGGCCCACCATCAGAAATCCTGACCGACAATGATACTGCATTTCGCAGTAAGTCCTTTAAAGATTTCCTGGATGACTGGGGAGTCCAACTTCGTTTTCGCTGCGCCTATGTTCCTGCAGGAAACGGTATAGTGGAAAGATCTCATCGGAGCATAAAGCGAATTGCAGCAAGAAAGCAGTGTTCGATAATGGAGGCAGTATACTGGCATAATATCACACCGAAGGATGATATATTGTCGACTAATGCGCCTGCCAATATGATTCACCGTTACCAACTGAAAGTGAAGGGAATTACTACAACATTACTACGTGATCGTTGTAAGTATCACAATATATACAAAGTTGGGAACAGAGTATGGGTGAAAGCTCCCCATGGTTGGTGTATCTCCAGGTATCAAGTGGGTCGCGTGATGGACATTGTAAGTCTACAAACAGTACTAGTTGACGGGATGCCATGGCATGTAAAAGATCTTTGCCTTTTCGTTGATTCTGATACATCACCGAGCGAATCCGATGATGATTCATCATCTGACAGTGATTGGATAATTGAGATCTGCGAATCCAATGCTTCCACAGACACAGAACTTCTGGAAACTCGAGATACGTCTGATGACTCCTCAGGAGACGACTCTTCGACACGCGTAAGGGAAATAGTGCCATTACGACGAAACACCAGGTTAAAGAGAGCTGCTCCAGGTTGTTCGATTTGTAATAGAGAGATCAGGGGGCGGTATAGCGAAGAAAACGGTGACTTACCTCATCAAACCAAGCGACAGCGCGTCGCGTGTATTCTGCAACAGAAAAAGCGGCGAAAAAGAAAATTACTTACCAAACAAAAGGGCATGTATTTCGCATAACATGCTGAAAATGGAATATTTGAATTAAAAAAAAAACAAGTCCGTCACAGGAGTTGCTATAAAAGTATTTTGATATGCAAATTACCGAACATCCTCTCCAAGCTGTCGGCAAATGAAAAAAATAGGTTCTGCCGATAAAAGCAGTTGGTGTTCTTGATTCGAGAGCGGAAAATTCGGGCATTTTTTACTACGGCGTTTGTTAGAGAGTGAGTTATTTTTCTGACTGGTTACATGCATTGTGATTTGAGATAGTACCGGTGAATCGAGTTTTCAACATTTCTTTCTGCACCCGATATTCGAGTCTGTACTTACAGTGATTTTTTTTTGTGCTGTGGAAGAAATCTGTGACAACTACTTCCTTTGCTTTCAGAACACTTACAGGTATACAAGAAAAAAGAAAATGCTAGAAAATATGAAACTCTAAATATGTCACAATTCACAATATGGCTTGCCAATAGAAAATAGTCAACCCAAAAACAAAATGATAAACAAGAAAAAAAAAAAAAATGAACAGAATATACAAAATAAACACAAAATTTACAAACAAATATTTTACAGACAAAATTAACAGATAAAACACAAAACTTTACGGATAATTAAAAGAAAGAACACAGAATAAAGTGACACGTAATAATAAACAAAGAAAAATAAAGTCGAACGTAAAAACATAGAAATAAAAATAAACAAATAGACTCTGGGAAGTGGGTACAGGGAGAAAATAAATAAAAAAAAATGGAAAATAAAACATAAGAGAAAAAGAAAAAGTTAAATAATAATAGCAAAATAAAGTAAAAATAAAAAATGGGGAGGGTAAGGAATTAAAAGGAAAGAAAAAATCAAATATTTACCAAACAATCAAAAAGGGACGTAAGAAAACGGTAAAAATAAATCCAAAACTTAATGGAATAATGGCAGTCAATGGTTCAAACAATTCTCAGAGGGACAAAATAACGGTCTAACACGGTCAGAGCTTTATTCAACTGAGAATACAAGGTTCGCGTATAGAGTCTTTTTATAGTCCCAGTAAACAGAAATAGTTCTCTCAAAGAGGAGAGTAACAAAACAAGGGGAGACCACTCTTGATAAAACTGTTCACATTCGCAATTCAGAAAAATTCTTGTCAAAAATACTTCTATACTTTTTCATGAAAAGAATAAACTAAAAATTCTCAAAGCTATCTATATTAAAATATTGAAACCAAACCTTAAAAAAATTAATTATAAATATTCCACAAATGTTTTAAAATGTGTACAATAGATAGTTTGAAATGCCAAGGTTTGCACGAATAGTTTTTTACTACTTATTTTGTAAAAAACTCTCTACAACCATATTTAGTTACCTCCCCTTAAATGGTGTCAGCAATTACGCACTGACTCAGCATTCTTCACTCCACAAGTAAGAAATTTAACTTTCAGATGAACATAACAATAATCAAGTAATGGCAGTCTGTGAAAAATAACAGCAAGATCAAGTAGATATCTAGTTTGGCAAGCCTAGTCAAATCCTAATGTGACATTTGTGATTCTCCAATGCTCATTGGTCAATGTCGGAATCAATGTGCATACATCTACAGTGTGAGGAAATCTGAACAATGCCGATCTTCATAGCAAAATGCCTAGAATTAACACAAGCATGCTCACCTCAACTTTGTCAAAGCTCATATTAATAAGCTAGAAACATATTGACAAAAGGTTTTATGGTTGGATGAGAACAAACTAGAGCTTGTTGGGATGAACAACAGTTGGTATATCTGACAAGCTCTTAATAGAGCTTTTGAAGAGAATTAAACATGGCAGTGACAGCATTATGATTTGGTGGTGTTTTGCTGCAGTTGGAACAAGCAAAACAATACACATTGATGACACAAATGACTCACAAGATGCCAAGCAATTTTGAACAAAAGTCTCCTGTCCTCAGTTCAAAAGTTGGTTTTAGGTCACAGCTGAACCTTCCAATAAGACAATGATCAAAGCAAATCCACAAAAGAATGGGTTAATAAAAAGAAATTTCAAGTCTTGTAATAGCTAGGTGCAATCGTCAGGGCGACCTGACGATTGCACCTAGCATGAAACACCCTGTCGCCTCTGAGTGTTGACATTGATGTTGACATAGTTTACAAAATCTATTTTTTCAAAGATAAAAGATAACTGGAGTATGTTAAAATAATTCATTTGGCTCTTACTGAAACAGCTGTTAATTCTGTAGTTGGTCCTTGGATCTCTGTTACAAACTTTTGCATGAGTGATTCATGACTGGTGTCAAATATATTAACTGTAAAATAATGAAAGTTATTTTTAGATGAATGTACACTCCTTTGGTTATTTTTATCTGCTAATTATAAAGATAAAAATAAGAATGCCATTTTATTTTAGAATAGTCAAAGTTACAAATAGATAGTCAATAGATTTATTACTAAAAATGGGCTCAAATGAAATAATGGAAAAGTCAAGGAAAACAGTAATTATACTATAAATAAAAAAACTATAAAAGTAAAGCTGTGGAACTGATAAAACAAAAATCTACATGTGATGCTTTGAAGATGTCTACTAATAGACATTCATTGTATGAATTAACTCACATGAAAGGCCAAAGAGGACTGTTTGGGAAAAGGTCTTTGTTAAATCATTTCTGCTAGCACATGGTTCCGGAAATGCTTACTGTATCATAGTAAAGAGAATTAATCCAACAGTAGTGGAAGAGAGAAGGGATAGTAGGAGCACATTTAATTTTGTGATTATCTATAATAACCATGATGTGTTTTTCATACTTTTTCAATTTTACTCTTTGTATTTCAATTTATTCATGAAGATTCACTATATATTTACCTATACTTGTTATACTTCTATGCGCTAAACACTTTAAATTAACTACAAAGAATAATCTGAGTTATAGAAGAAAAAATTGTACCCAGTTTAACATTTAGGCACATAAACGTTTATTTTAAACAATTACCTGAAGGAGTATATTTTTCTTTAGGGATATTCCATGAAATACTTTGTACCATATGACTTGGTCCATGGGAAGTTTCCTATTAAAAAATAAAATGTAAACACATTCTTATGCATACTTTTATTTAAGTACTTGTAAAAATATAATTTTGTAGAATTGAGTTTTCTAATAATTTTTTTTTGATTGTGAAATTCTAAAAATGTTATTCATCTAATATCACAACAATGTCAGTTAACCAAAAATAAGGTACATATGGTTTAAAACAAAACTTTGCATAAATCACAAAAACATCAAACAATTCATAATAAAGAATGAGTTTTTGTTTAGACAGCAGAATAAATGAAACTGATATTATAAGTAGTAATATCCACAATTTTCTCAGTTGTAATAGACACTGATAGCTATACAGCAAATTAACACAAGTATCAATATCCTAGCTATAGATATATAGATAGTGAGAGAGCACAGTACCTTATACTCAAATTTGCATACGTTAAGGTGGCATGAACTTCACTAGAAATGTCATGATAACAGTGGCATGCAGTTGGGGGTGATGGCTCCAGACAACACTTCCAATGGAGTATATTATTTCTGCTGCAACTAAGACAGCGAAATGGATGAAGAAACATAACTTTTTGTTTTTATTAAGCAAATACACATAAAATTAGATATTAAAAATAAATAAAATAGTTTTTAATTTTAGTTTTAAAATGTCTATATTTGGTTGCTGGTAGTGCTGATAATTCCACTAAACCTGTAAAGAAAATTTTAGATAGGGTTCAAATGACACCAGCTTGTTTTAAAAAAATGTCTCCAAAAAGCCCTGTCTGGTGGTGGGGATGGAGCCCACTTAGACACAGTGATCAGTTTGGGCTGGTCATTAAGTATACCACCAGTTACCTCCTCCCCACTTAGTGTTTTATGAGTACCTACTTGAATCAGAAATTTTTTCACACCTATGTGAGAAGTCCAAGATTTTGGTTTCATCTTGATATTTCATGTCTATGAACTGGTTGGTATTCACCCAAATTTTGGATAAAATTGATTGTTAGTCTTAACTGTATTCTTGTCCTGGAATAAAATTCTACTTTACTTTTTAAGGTGTTAAGAATCTAACATAGGTATCTCTGTTGGATCGCTAAAAAAAGAGCATAGCATGATTAAAAAGACGCCAAAGTTGATGAAAACAAAATTTTCGCGTCTAAATGCTTATGTTACTTTTTAGAGGAAAGATCAAAGTATTTTTTACTTATTTTTTAAAATTTTTCCTTCTTTTTTAGAACATTGTAAATTTTGATTAAAAGACCTTGTTTCTCTTTTTATCAGCTTGGCTGATAAATTAACGTTAAACATTTGGGCGCGTTTTTTTCCCCGTTTGACACACATTAATTTGGAAAATCTTGCAAAAATGAAAATAATTGTCGGATTTTAATGAAATTTTCAGAAACTATTTACAAATGATGGAACTTATTATAAATACATTTTTTTTTAGTAAAGTCATCGCAGAAATTTTTTTTTTTTATATGTATTTACCCACTCTAACTAATTGTACGAAAACTATAATTTCAATTCCGAGGAGTTTAGTGATTATATCAGTTAAAAGCACAATGCTTTGAGGAAACAAAATCATGTTTTTGTTTTTTTTTAGTTGGAGCCCTTCTACCTGAAAATCGTCTCTGAAGTGTAACATACAAAAACTCAATAAAACAAAAATATTATTTAATTTCAAAAGCTTTTAATTGCTTTTATTTATTCCAATAAACATGGACAATATTGTCTGAAAGCAAAAAAGATATTTCGATGAAAAATGAATTTTAAAACAATTACCTACAATTATTTTTTTATTTCCGCAACCATTGTTTTTATTTTTACATTATGTTGTTAATTCTTCTAAAATTATGGAAAAGCGCGTACAGCTTAACGGATGTTGTTTTTAAGTAGATATATATTTACAGATTATAATTTCCAAAGCTTATTACAAACTAATGAGTCTTCGTATATAAAAAAAAATTAATTTGTCAATAATGTGTTTACCAATGAAATCTACGGAAGACCGGAAGTTTGGTGCGTGCAATAAAAATAACGTCACGTGGATTGAGTTTCTGTCTAGTAAGGGTTGTTCTTCGCTGTATACGGCCCCTTAATTTAGCAAACTGTTCCTGCTGAAACACGTGTGCATCATTTTCATTAAGTTAAAATAGGTACTTTCATCTAGTTTTCATCGTAGTCCTGTAATGTTTGGTTGAAATTGGTTGAAAAATGTAGGAAATTCGATCCAATAAACGTAACACACACAACCTGGGTTTTATAATAAGTAAGATTCACATTTTGCCTCTAGAAAACTAAAAACTTTTCAGTCATTTACACTGGCCAATTTTACTTTTAAATGAAACATATTGTTTGCTTTCAGAAAATACCTAGTTTCATGGGATTCAGATAAACTTTACCTGGTATTTTTCCAGATAAGTAATTTTTTATTACATAAAAATATAAGAATCCATTTATTTATTTTTTCCGAGAATATAGGCTGTGACAAAATGACTTTTACTATGTTTGATTATTTTTACTGGGGATAGAATTTTTTTTTATAATAGCAAATCTGAATTGACTTTAGAGGGGTCTATATGGGCCCTCAAACAGCAGTGCAGCACTTGTATTTTAATTTTTTTTAATAGTATTTATAATTTCTCCAGAGAGTATCAACAAACCTATGGTACATAGTAGTTAACAAAAAAAAAAAAAATTGTAATGGCGAAAGTTTTTTTACTTTAAATATTACAAGTTACTACTTAAGTAGGTCCGCTTAAAAAAAATAATATGTCCATTCTGTGCTTCCGTATGGGAACTCGAATCTCACGTCAGCTGTCAATAATTTATAGATGTCATCACTTGGCACTCTGTCAATCAACGGCAACGTGAAGATCGGCTCTTTTATCTTTAAAAACATTTTTCTACGAAGAAAGTAAGTAAAAGTTTCTTTCAAAATATTTTAAATAAACTTTAAATTTTCTAAATTTCTTCGAATAAATATTGAAATACGTATAATTAATTTTTAAACGAATTTTAAACGAAGAATTTAACTTATTTTTAAAATTTTTAAAAATATGGCTGATATAGAGCTTTTTTCGTTTTTTCTGTAAACAAGTTTTTTTAACTAAAATTTCGGACATGCTAAGAATGAGTAAAAAATTTCAAAAATTACTCAAAAAATACTTTAGTGTTTCTTCTCAATAATGAAATATACTTTTATCATGAAAAAAATTTTTTTCGTTAATTTTCAGACCGTTCTTGTCATGCTATATTAGATTTTCGCGAAATAATAGAGGTACCTAATCTAACATTAATTCAATGTATAATTGCTGACAGCCACACCTCTTTGCCTTTTTTTTTTTCTTGCACCAAAAATATTTTTCTCGTTTTAAAACTTTGTTTTACTAAGCCCCAAAAAAACTTTTTGAAACACAAGAAAACAAGTTTAAAGGAGTTGAACTGCTAATAAATGGCAACATTTCTTAATTGGTCACTGCTTTAAGTTAATCACTAACCAAAAGTCAGCCTCTTTTATGTTTAATCCCAAGATGTCAAGCAAAATAAAAAATGAAAAGATAGCTAGATGGAGGGTAGAGTTTTCCTGTTTTTCATTTGACATTTTCTATCAGTTGGGAAAGGAAAATGCAATGGTGGACAGGCTGTCAAGAGTGTGTGGATCAATAAAAAGCACCAAAGATCTATAAAAAGTTCATAACGAACTCTGTCTTCCTGGCAACATGAGGATGATGCATGTGGTTCAAAGCCTGAATTTGCTTTTTTTCAGTTGAGAACGTGAAAAAATTTCAAATGGTTGTCAAATTTGCACTCAAATAAAACCAAGGTTCTACAAAACGAACCATTTAAGGCACAGAGCATGGACTTTAAGAGCCCTCTTCAATCTAAATCCCGAAATAAATATCTACTGTCATTGATGAATACTCACAATCCCCTTTTGCCTTTCCCTGTCCAGATGTAAGTGCAACAATGGTCATATGCTATCTTTGCTCACTGTTCTCAATATTCAGAGCACCAGCTTATATTCATACAGATTGCAGGACTTCTTTTATGTCCAGCCAACTAAAGAAATTCCTATTCGTACAAGGAGTGGCCTCATACAACCCTCAAAGGAATGGACAGTGTGAGAGAAACAATGTCATAATATGGAAGATTGTACAGTTAGAACTTGAAAACCAAAACCTCCCAACTGGGATTGGGAAGACAAAATAACAGAGGCTCTGTATGCTATAAGGAACCTATTGTGTACAAAAACTAATGCAACACCTCACAAAAGGGTTTTAAAATTTCCAAGGTGAAGTACAGCTAGGATCTTCATGGCTCTTACAGCCAGGTACTATTTTACTTAGAAAACATGCTCTACAAAGCAACTATGATTTTCCTGTGAGTAAGGTTTGAAGTGCTTGAAATGGACCCACTCTATGTGTGCATCCAGCACCTCAACAGGAGACAATTGAACGTTTCCCTCAGAGATTTGGCTGACAGGAAAGTTATCAAACCACAGGGAGGAGTAGCTCTCCCCTGAAGCAATATCTATCCCTCTTGATGGTAACAATGACACAATGCCATTCGATTTTCCTGAGGAACGAGGCCTCGATATTTATGATTGAGAGATCGACACCAGAATCCTTCAAAATGTCAAAAGAGCATACTACCACATCCTCTGATAGTTAGCTTTCAGAATAAAAGTGTCCCACTCCAAGAAGGAGACAAAAACAATATGAGACAAAATACTTCTGGTCAACTGTTCCCGTAACACCTGAAAGTGCAGATCAGCTGCCACCAAGACAATCCAAGAGAATTGTCAAGAGACCCAGTCACCTGGATGATTTTGTGTCAGACTAGGAGAAAACAAAGCTAGGGAGAATGTGGTAAGACATCCCGATTACCTCCCTTGTCTGATGATTTGTATAAATAAGTCACACTGTCCTAGCCAAAATGGCAAGACTCTTCGATAACGTTCAAATAAGGGCACATTAAATCGAACTAGACTCCGAGTTTTCATTACAGATATCAATTAATTACCAATCACCT